AATTAAAATTATTAAAAATATCCATGCAAAAACAACCATTACTTACAAAAATAATATTTTATTCATTATAATAAATATGTTTCTTCGTTTCGTACACATTTCAACCAAAAAACACCATACTGATGATTTGTCAACAACGCGGACGCTCACAATTTGGCAACGCTGTTTGTAATATCAAGCACGTTGTCGGTTAACAAATTGTTTATGTTTTATAATCCGTGTTTATTTGTTATATGTTGTTTATTTCAAAGGTTTATCCTGTTTGTTAAATTTTCAAGTTATTCATTCGCAAAATAATTCAAGATTTTAAAGTTAATTTTTCCAAGTAAGTTTTTTTATCATTAAAGGGCCAACAATTTTTTTTTAAGATGCATGTTGATAATTAAAAAAAAATAAATAACTGGGGAATACATTTTATGAATTATAGCTATAAATTAATGTTGATATTTTAGAATTATCTAGTTTGCCTTGTAAAAAATGGGGGAATCCCGTAGACTTTTTACATCATGAATCAATGTTAATTATTTTATTATTTTCTTTACAGACATAATGGCGAACGATGTATCAAGCAATTTAAACGACAATCTGTTAAAAGAGAAAATCTTTAACTGCAAGATTTGCGATGAGCTTTGCATCTCCGATATATATTTAATAAGCGGTAAAGGGAACGTGTGTTCAAAATGCTATTATCAAAATTGCGAAGATAATTCAAGAGCAGAGTTAAATTCAGCTCTTATCTTTGTTATGTCGCAGCTTATTTTGCCATGCAAATACGAATTTAAGGGCTGCAATAAAAAACTGACATGTAAAAATTATGAAAAGCACATCAATGCTTGTGAATACAAAGTGAAACCTTGTCCAATGGCAAATTATGAAGATTGCAAATGGAATGGAAATAATTTAGAAATATCCGAACATATTTCCACAGTCCACTCAAAGCATGTGATAAAAAGTGAAAATAACATTTTTAAAGTTGAGACATCCTTATCCGAACCATACAACATAAAATTATTCAGTGATGACCACAAAAGCTGTCTTCTAAAATCTTCAATTTTTGACAATAAGTTTTACTATGCCATGAATCCCATCTATCCATATGAAGAAAATGTTGAATATTCGGTAAAACACAAAAGTAAAGATACGCAAAACTATTCCAAAACCATAGGCACCCTTACCAAGCTAAATAGTATTTATGATGAATTAAATCTAAATAAAAACCCTAATGCAACAGAGGTAATAAATATGGAGTTATTGGAACATCTTGCAGACGAAAACAATATAATTGTCAATGAATTTAATTTAAATCCAAATAATATTGGTGAAGAAACATTAAAACTACTGGAATGTCCTGTATGTTTCCACATAATGAGACCACCAATTTATCAGTGTTCAAATGGACATAGTATATGCATTGTGTGTCATGACCAAGTAGAGGAATGTCCCACATGTAATAAACCATGGGCTAAGGCAAGAAATTATTTAATAGAAGGTTTAACTAACAATTTACAATATCCATGCCGATTTAAAAAATTAGGATGCAAAGAATTTGGCACTGAACCTCAAGTAAACAAACATGAAGTATCTTGTCCATTACGTATCTTCAAATGTCCTATGGGTTGCAGTGAATCTGGTATCTACAAATTCATATTGGAACATTTGAATAGTGTACATAAGAATTTGAAACTTACTTCAAATTTAACATTTACAACAAAAAGCCTATTAGCCAAAAGATGGACATTGTTTGATTCGAAGATATTCACAATATCATTTTATTCTCAATGTCATGGTATAAAATGGATAGCTCGATTATGTTGCTCTAATGAAAATCCGAGGGCCTATATTTATACAGTAGAAGTTTTAAAGTCTGCAGGGGAATGGTCATTAATAAATAATGCTGCTTGTTTAAAAGCAGGTACTACCGGAAATGAAAATATGACTTTGGATTGCGAATCTGCAACATTTAACGTCTCAATAAAGAAAGCAACATCTTTATAAAGAACAAAAAAATAGGTTTAATTAAAGTTAAAAATGGTTTTTGAATCCTACCTTTCCAATGTTTAAATATAATTATTTCAAATGTGTTTTTATATTAATAAATGTTTTGAAAATAAAATAAAAAAAATTAAATTACCTAATTAAAAAATAAGTCAACATCAGTCAATTAGAGTTATAAATAAAACTTTAGTAAGGAGACTAAACTAAGTCAAAAGGGATTATTTGAGAAATCCAATAAAAGGGTCTCAAAATTTTAAATAGAAACTATATATAACTTCTTAAACAGCAAATATTTGGATACAACAAATTGTTATTTACAATGCGAAGCCGCACAAACTGGACCTAGCAATGGCCTTGGGCAATATAAAACAATTTTAGTTGATTAAGTACTTTAATGACAAATTTGATGGTCAAAAATATAATAAAAGTTTACACATTTTATAAAGGGCATAGAATGTCTAATCAGAGCTGGCCAAGTAGAGTACTTGTACTCGTATTTCAATTACGAGTAAAAAAGTACTCGTACTTTAAAGTAAAAATTTTTACTTATAAGTATTTTTCATTTGAAATACTTATTACTCGTACTTACAAACCAAATTCAATGTTCTCGTGGAATTCACGAGTAATATATACGAGTATTTCCGTTTATTATATCGATGCCTTTTTGCCAAAATATCGTAAGCATCAAAACATTTTGTTTGAAAGTCTGTTTTAAATTATATAATATTTTATAGCCTATAGGTTTTATAACAAGTATATAGGTAAAATTATAAACTATTTAAGAATTTTTATTTTATATTTTATGTACAGGGTGATCCCCTATAATGTCGCCCCCTTTAACTTTTTTATTTTAACTGTCCCAAAAAATTTAAAAGTACCTATGGTTTTTTTAATGGATCACCCTATAAATGAATTTATTTTTCGATTCCTTGTAAAAGTCTAAGCATATATTATAATTGAATCGTTTCTGAAATATTCGAATATGCGATCGCATTTGAAATGTTATCATTAAATATTTTTTTAACTGTTACAAATCAAGAGGCCTCAGGATAACAAAATGTTTATTGAAAAAAAATAACTAAGTAAAAATGCCGTATTTAGACAGAGAAAGAAACTTTTTTAACTTATTATTTTAAAAATAATTTAAATATATTTCAGATATATATATGAAATATGCTTATAATCGAAAAATAAATTCATATATAGGGTGATCCATTAAGAAAAAATAAACTTTTTGTTTTTCCCTACTAATTAATTTTCCAATATTTTTATACGTAGAAAAAAAGTATTTTTCAGTACCTACGTAACGACACTTTTAATTTTTTGGGACACTTAAAATAAAAAAGTTAAAGGGGGCAACATTATAGGGGATCACCCTGTACCTAATGTTTAATATAAATAATTTTATAAATTTGTATTTTTATAGCTCAGGAACAAAGTATGCAAAGAATAATCAATTATATTAAAAATTTTTTTTTCAAAAGTACTCGTACTCTTTACTCGTGTTTTCACGATTACTACTCGTAACCGTAACCTCTCTTTACAAATGTACTTACGAGTAAAGTAGGTACTTACGAGTAAATATTTTAAGTACTCGAACTTAAAATTTTACGAATTCTTATATCCAGTAGTTTTAATCATTTAGATATTAAATCGATAAAAATATTTTTTGTAAAATGTTTTAATGCTGGTAGTTTGGAATTTTAAAAATTGGAAAATTCTAAAAAATCTTAAAATTAATAATTTTGAAAATTTGTCCAACAATTTTTACATTTATACTACCGTGCGAGATTTTTCCACAATATATTTATTTTAAACTTCTGTGTGAATGTGTCCTAGGACTATCATACCATTGAGTAACATCTTACTCAATGATTATACTTTAAATTTAGACTAAGTTGTACTGTAGTACCTAGTAGTAGTAGTACAGTCATATTTTATATAGTATATGTATTTGTTATATGAGTACAGTACTGTGTGAAATACTTCCACGCAGGTTCAGAAGAAAACACAACAGGCATGTGCGTTTCATATTTTCCCTTCCCTAAAGATAGGTATATAAAAACAAAACCATCATAATTACTGTTTTATCAGCGATGCATTAATGGCTTAATACGAAATTCCTGTAATAATTCGGCTGTTGCATAAATGTTAATTAATTATATTAAATTGGCAAAAATTATCCAAGAACTTAAACAATGTTTGAGCAAGTATCCTGCACGGATGTTCGGTCTAACCGAGTTTCGGTTTCGGACATAAAACAAACTTAACTTGCCCTAAGTTTACAGTTTAGTTTAGATGAAATAATGCGAATCCGACACACGTCAGAATGGTCGGAGTGTATTAAATTTATATGGAGACAAGACAAGTTCATGAAAGATGATAACAGCTTTAAGGTTTGATTGATTATCCCTAATATTGATTGTCTAGTTTACGGGGATTTAATGGGATTTGCTACATTACTATAATTAATCAAAACTGAGTTTTGCCTGTTCATTAATTAACAATACAACCAAGACAGATGCATTGATTTTTTGCAAACGCGGCAGATTTCCAATTGATTTGTTAATAAAGTTAATTTAATTAAAACTTTTGTTATGAAACTATGAAAATATTTAGTTAAGTACCTATTTTAGGTAATATTTTTACTACAAATAAATATTTTATAGGGGTATAAAAGGATTCATGAATAGGAAAATTTGAAAAACTTATTTCAATAAAGCAATATAAATAATAAGTTATTTCAAAAGTTTTATTAAAACAAATATTGGAAAACAGTGTTATGTGATAAAAACATTAATCAAAATTTAACGTTTTATAAAATAAAACCAAAAACTAACTAATCAATAGAATAATTCTTGTAAAATATTACACCTACTGACTGAGTGCATTAGTGTCAAACAGAACATTCTAAATATGGTAAAATTTGTAAATATAATATAAATCATAATTATTTACCATCTAATTAATTTCCTTAGAACAAGTTTTGAACTAATAATAATGTCTCAATTTGCAGATTCACATGCATCTATCCAGTCATTGTAAACATCCACAGGTTCAGATAAAAAGTTTATTGTCGTTTGAAAATCTTCCAAACACACCCTGCATGTTATCCGAGCTGTGTTTCGACCCTTGTCCCTTAAATTAATAAAAAAATGCATAATATTAACACCAATACCATGGCATGTTAAATATATGAAAAATAAAAAGCATTCAACAAAACTTACATTTTAACATCACAGGATTTCTCGTGGTTACAAAATGGGCAGTTAAACTGTATGTCCAAAGGTTCAATTGCCTTTCTTTTAGGTGCTGGTTTCCTCTTAGACTTCCTGCGACCCATTTTCTAATTGGAAATTACAAAAATCCAACAAGAATTTCCGGGATTTTGTTTATTTATGCAACGCTGTCAAAATTTTGACAGAACTCCCCTCGGCGTTGCCACATCATCAAGAATTTAAATAAAAAAATTAATAAAATGCCTTAGTTTTAACACCATATATCCAGTTTTAACAATTTAATATTAATTGAACAAAAAAAAACATAATGCTTACCTTGTATATCCTAAAACGTCCATTCAAATTGCATTTAACAACTCAGCGAGAATTGGCAACATTCAATCACAAAACTAGTTTTGTGCATTCAATAAAAGCTTTGATATGAAGTTGGCAGCGAACGGCAGCCAACATTTAGAAGTGACATTTTAAAATAAAAGTATGGTTATGTAGAAGTGCAACATCTTTATTTGACTTATTTCATTTAAACGACCCAAACAGCTTTGACGTAATAATTATTTATCATTTAGGAGGCTTCATTTACTCGTTAAACATGACGTTGCAAGCGGAATTTCAGGCGGTTGTGTTGGCAGCTGGTAGGGGCTCTCGTATGTCGGAAGTTACCACGGGAATCCCCAAATGTCTTTTACCCATTGGACCGAAGCCTCTCGTATGGTATTCCTTGTATAAATTGCAATGTGCAGGGTTTTCAGGTAAATTGTAACTCTATTAAGGGTGATGTAATAAGTTGTATTTTAGACGTAATCATGATTGTATTGGAAAACGAAAAGTCTGAAATACACAGCGTTTTGGAGAAGACGAACCTCGACATCAAGATTGATTATGTGTGTGTTTCTGAGAAAGATGAGGATCTGGGCACTGCAGAATCCCTAAAGTTGATAAACGATAAGTTAACATCAGATGTACTTGTCGTTTCTTGTGATTTTGTAACCGATGTTGATTTTAAAGGCGTTCTAGATATATTTAGAATGCATAATGCTTCTGTAGCCTCTCTATTAGTACAGCCACAGCCTAATGAAGTGTTTGTAGTGCCTGGGCCAAAATCAAAACATAAGCCAGGTAAGAAGAAATAAATTGAGCTATACATATTACAACTTAACATATCACAACTTTTTAGAACGTGATTTGATTGGAATAGACACGCAAACAAACCGGTTAGTTTTTTTGGCATCAGCAAGTGATTTCGAGACGGACTTCTCATTGCCTACAAGTTTGCTAAAAAAGCACACCCACATCAAGATTTATAGTAATTTAATAGATTCTCATGTTTATGTGCTTAAAAATTGGGTTGTGAAATATTTAAAGAGCGAAGACAGTTTTACGTCTATCAAAGGAGAATTACTGCCACATATTATTAAGAAGCAGCTGTCTAAACCACCAAAACCTGTTAATACTAATACTTCAGTTATTAATACAGGTAATGTATTTTTATTTTTTTAGTCCATAATGTGAATAACATTTAACGCCAAAAATACGAATTTTTAACGCTATTCTATCATAAAATTGGTTTTATAGTTTAAAAAAGCATTTTTGTGAAAAGATATCAACTTTTTACAAAATATAATTATTTTTTATAGTAATTGAGGGAAAAAATCATTTTATTGTTTTTAATGGGACATGCAATTTTTCTATTGCATATTTTTTTTTATTTATTTATTTATTAACCCAAAACGATTACAAAGAATCCATAACAGGTAACAAACATAATTATGTGGATACATTTCTCTTTTTTAATAAATACAACTTAACTAATGAGGTAAAAGTACATAGTAAATTCACAGTGTCCAATCTATGCATGCAAAATGCTTCAATAACCTTGGGCACGTGACGTCACGATGTTATAACAGATGTGTCAAGAATTACGAATTACGAATGTCCATGCATTTCTAAAAAAAAATTATTCTTGATAAAAGTTTTTGCTTGATTTCAATCCCCCAGAATATGCCACACATTATATTGTCTATGGTCAATTTGCAATTTTGAATTTTTTGACTAAAAATTCTTGATAAAAATCATTGGTCAGTTTTTGTTTATATAAGAACGAAATTTTCTGAGAAATGTAAACATTTTTTGTTATCTTTGTAACCCACCCGTGGACACTGTATAAGACCGTGGTTTTTTGATTATGTATAATATCAAAGTATTCAAATTGTTTGAAAATCAAGGTGCAAATTTTAAATTGTGACGTCACGGTAAAGAGAAAATTTATCAATTTTAAGTAATTTTTAGGAAATAATTTACCTATAGCAAAAATCGTTTTGGTTATTTTTAGTGAATACTCTCTAAAAATAAAAATGTTTTGACATCATGTCCCAACCCCATTGCCTAAGAACTTAAGCCTTTTTAAAATGACATAAGTTAAAGCAATGTTTTAAATTTATTTTATAAACATATTTAATATATTTCTTAAAGAAAACTTGTCTTAAAATATTTTATTTAAGTCTAATAATAGTAATTATTTAAGTTATTAAAAAAAGTAATTTAAAACTCATTTAATCCGTTTTGAAAGGACTAAAACTTAAACTATTTATGTTTTACAAAAAAAACTTGTCACTTTTTAAAAAATGACAGTTCTGGCCCTGATGTAGAGAATTGTATAATCTCAGTAAAACAAAATAACTAACTATATTTCTAAGGTGATAATGGAGACATTTTTGCCTTTTCCAAAGAAGACGAGCTTGATATTAACATTAGAAACACGTCGTCTTACAATGACCATACCGGAGACCTAAAGCCCACTTACCATGAAGACTCAATTAGGTGTTACGCTCATATCGCTCCAAAAGAAAACTTTGGCGTTAGAGTGAACACTTTACCCTCATACTGGTGGATAAACAACAAGGTACTTATTGTCCTCAAAACGCCAATCGTTGCTTACACATTTCTTGGTTAAGATTTCAGAAAAGTGGCCACAAATAACTGGTGATAGATTGGAATTTGTACCTGTGCATCCGAAAGCGGACGTCAAATCCAACCAAGTCGACAATAAATGTGTTATTTGGGAGGGCGCGAAACTAAATGAGAAAACATCGTTTAAAAACAGCATCATTTGCAGTAACACAGAAGTTTGCAGCTTTAGCAGGGTTTTTAATAGTATTATTATGAACAATGTTACCATCAAAGAAAAGTAAGTACATTTTTTTTATAATTTATTGTTCTACTTATTACCAAAGGGTCTTTCCATCTTGAATCGACCAAGAAAAAAAGTGGTAGATAGATATTTTTCAACGATTTTTTGTACAGTTTCTCTACCGAAATCGATGAGACCCGTATTTTTTCTTTTTACCAGTGATATTTTTTCTTTAAAATGCGATAACTTGTAAAAAAATTGTTTCAACCATTACAATTTTTTTTAAGTTGTAGGTGTGCAAAAAAATATATAAAAAATTAAGTGAATTCACACAATTTTTTTAAATTAATTTTTCTAAAAGGGCAAAAAAAATTTAGGTCAAAATTTTGACATTGCCACCTTTTTTTTTAATTCATATTTTTTTAGTTTGAAGTTGATAATATGAACAACTTTCACCAAAAGTCCCAAGTTGGCTAAAATCTAAATTAGTAAATTCGTGGTTTATCGCAAAAATGTTGTATTTTATCTATGGTCATGAAACTGGGGTGACCTTTATAAAGTGTAATTTAGAACTTTTTGACATATTTAACATATTTTTGTAGTAAGTAAATTAAATTATAAAAGATTTGTTACTTTTTGTTAATTTTGGTTAAAATAATAAAAATAAAGTATTATATACCTAAAAGTAATGAATCGAATGCACAAGGAAATTATAAAAACGCGATTTCGAAGAAATGTGGGACAATTCCGAAAAATGTTTATTAAAATAAAATGTTAATATTCACTTACCAGCAAAACAAACTAACGAACTGTCAAATCTGATACTTCTTTTAAACGCAAAGCCTTCTTAATTTATTTACTTCTGAACACACTTTAAAATATACAAATTTAATTAACTTAACTTCAAACGAAACAAATATGAAGTAAAAAAATATGGCAATGTCAAAATTTTTACCTCAATTTTTTTGCATTTTTTAGAAAAAACAATTTAAAAAAAATTGAGTGAATTCACTTAATTTTTTTGGTATGTAGTAAACATTTACCTACAATTAAAAAAAATTGTAACGATCGAAACATTTTTGGCCAAGTTATCGCATTTTCAATAAAAAATGTCAGGGCTGATATATATAGATATATATCAAAATTTGGATATTTATTTCTTTTATTTTATTATAACTATTTTTTGGTTTAAAATTCAAAATTATTTAATTTATTATAATTTTAAACCAGGTAAGTTTAGGATGAAATCAGTCTGACTAATATTTAGATCCAGATTCGAATCTGAATCTTTATTTTCATTTGTAGAGGGATTTTCTAATTATTTTTGTTGCTCTAGCCAATCCCAATCAAGATTACGTTTAAATGGTCTCTGTTGCGCAAACATTTAAACAAAAATACTAGGTAGTTTTTCATACATTTATACTTACTAATGAAAAGAATTTTATACAAAAAGATATTGATCTTGGGGTCACATATGACAGCAAATTAAACTTTAATTTGCATGTGGAAAATATTATAAATGCGAGTAACAAAAATTTGGGATTCATTGTCAGAAATTCCTTGGATTTTCATGATGTTTTCTCATTGTCTACTTTACAACACTTTTGTTAAATCTAAATTAGAATATGCCAGTGCAATATGGAATCCTTCATATTCAACACATTCCGATTCGCTTGAACACATACAGCGTCGCTTTCTTAAAATTCTTAGTTTTAGAATTGATGGATTCTACCCACCAATCGGTTTTTCCCAAAATATATTACTCGTGAGGTTTAATTTTGAAAGTGATAAAATGTATCAAAAATTATAATTTAATGTATGCGCTGCCATCTATGGTAACATGTAAGTACTAGAACGCCCTCTACAGTATGTCAAGTAGAAGCTAATGTTCCCTCTCTTTTGTAGAATAAATTAGTCTTTTATCGACGATCAAACGAACCTGTTGCGTTTTATTTCATCAGGTTATGGACCCAGTTC